GCAAGGCTCACAAAGATGAGTTGTATGATGAAAAGGAGATGAATTGATAGCCGGTTTTTGATTCAACAAGGATTGATCAAGTTTTTGAGAAAGAGTTTTAACCTCGGCTACAATTTCCCTTGAACTTTCAATTTGACACACTGTTACACTTTTTTCCTTTTTATTAAAACCATGATCAAGCCGAGAAGTGTAATATTTGTGCAAAGAGTTTTCACTCATTTTTTCAAAAAGGTGCCAAATGTCATCTTCATGCTTTCCAAAATACGAACCTCCACATGAGGTATCAACTATGTTATTTTGCATGTCGGATAGGCTTTCATAGAAGTATTGGACAACTTGCCATTTTGGAATACCATGATGTGGACAGTTTCTTAGCAAGTCATTCAATCTTTCCCAAGCCTCATGCAACAACTCTCCTTCCCTTTGAGAAAATTCTCTAATTGAAGCACACATTACATTGGTCAAACTTACAGGGTAATTTTTTTTAAAAAAAAACTCATTTTGCATTTGTGCCCAAGATGTTATTGAATTTACCCCTAAAGTATTGAACCAATGCTTTGCTTTATTTTTAAGCGTGAAAGGGAAGAAAAGTAATTTAAGAATTTCCTTCGGGACATCCATGTATCTCACGGTGGAACATAGTTCAAGAAATTCATTAAGATGCCTATATGGTTCCTCTTCATCTAAGCCATAAAAGAGTGGACACATTTGAATGGTCTCGGGCTTGATTTCATATTGATTAGCCTCAAAATTAGGCAACACAATGCAAGTAGGTGCATGGTATGCATGAAGATTATAATGATCACGAAGGACCGTTGGAGGAATTGGAGCTTAAACTCCGAGGCCATGTTGATTAAGAGGTGGGTTTTGCATGAAACGTGGGTCTAAGTAGCCAAGATTACCCTTTAGATTTTCCATGTGAATGCCTAGGACGGGTGATATGACAATGTCTATACAAGACTACAAGTAACACACAAATCACAACAAAACAAGCAAGCACTCCTCATTCGTAACAAATCAACAATTAACAAACTTCCTCCATATACAATGATCCCATACTCCCATGCTTTAATAACAATGCAAAGAATAATTAAAATGCTTCCACGCGGGCTCACGATTTATCTAAGAAATTAAAAACAAGCCTCCACGCGGGCCGACGATTTGACTAAGAGATTGAGTAAAGAAAGTCTCACAAAGGTCCTTTAGCACTTCAACTCCAAATTTATAGCTTAACTTAGCAAATTTTTTTTTAAAATTTTAGCACTTTTCCTTGCTTGCTTAGCTCCTTTGCTTACTTCCTAGCTCAATGCTCCTTGTCAAAGATGAACAAACACAATAAGTAATCAAAAGAAAAAAAAAATAAAGTAAAGACACGATAAAAAAAGTACTAATTCCTAATGAATTCCACAAATACGACGTTGCCTATTCCCCGGCAACGACACCAAAAACTGATAGTGTGTCGCCTCACCACAAGCTTAAGAGTGTGCATTAAGGCGAGGGCCAAGTTTTACATTTATAAAAGCCACTACTACTTTCACTAAAAATATAGTTAGGGTGAGTAGGGATCGTCCCAAGGGATTGGAGTCGGATTTGGTTGTGGAATCACTATTAGGGTTAGTAGGTCGAGTGATCAAACAAATAGTTGGTTGGTTGATTAACTAGAGAGCAAATTAAACTAAATAATTGAATGCAATAAAGAGTAAGTAAGAGAGAGATCTTGGGGTTTAGAGGTCACCACCAAATAATACTCTTCTACACCCTTAACAAGTGATTAATAAGGGAAATGTGTGTTGCAATATTGATGTGTGTGTGTGTTTGGTTGATTCAATTATCAAGGGTGACCAATTAAGTATATATTGTCTAAACAACATGTGAAAAACACAATATATCTAGCAATTAAGTATATATTGTCAAAATAGCATGTGAAAAACACAATATATCTAGCAAGTCATTAATCCTTTCATTAATCTCACAAGCCAAATACACCACAAGGTTAGAGACATATGCTACTTGCATTCAAAAGTATGGAACATCAAACAACAAGCATAGATTGTCCTCCCATCTAACAACTATGCTACCACTACATTACAATTAAGCTAATGACATGAAATTGAACTAATTAAGCTAAGGGAGAGGCACAATCCATCAAGAAATGAGCATGAACCATCAAGAAAATTACAAGAGCATTCCATTAAGTACAATGTTTTGACAATCTCTAGATCTATGGCATTAATAACATAGACATGCATCAATAACACAAGAAATAGAAACAAACACATGAACATCTATTCTAGTATACATAGACATATGGATAGAATGAAATGATCAATTGGAAGCATTAAACCACATAAATCATTGAATAAACAAGATCTATATATATAGAAGTGCCAAAACATATATTACAACACTAATCCCTCAATAATACATAAAATCAAGATGTAGAAAGCATGCTTGGGCTAATTCTAGCCCCAAGAGGATGTCTAACCACTCATGGTAGTGCTTCTCCAACCCTCAAGGGTTAACTCCATGGTAGAGTTTTACTCCTTGGTTGATGAAGAGTCTCCAATGGTGTCTCTAGCCTCCTCCTCCTCTAAGCTTCCTCTCTAAGAGTTCTACAAGGTATGATATGATATGATGTAAAAAGTAATCCTTATCCTTATATAGGTAGGTCAAATGACACCCAAAATAAGCTGGGGTCGTACAGCAAATATTCCCCAATGATTGGATAAAGGACAACTTTTTGTGAGATGGAAATTTAACTTTTTCGCACTAGAGGAAGTTCGATCTATCGAACCTTGGATTTGGATCGATCGAACATGGCTAAGATCTATCGAACTGAAGTTGGATCGATCCTCGATGGCGGCGCTTTTTGGACAAAAACAAATTTGAGATATTTCGAAGATATTTTTGGGAAAAGGATAAAAGTGGTTGGTAGGGTGGTACAACTAGATAAGATCAATCATTTGAATAAGGACAAGGTAGTTCGATAGATCGAAAAATGATGTTGGATCGATTGAACTTTTGAGATCTCTGAAAATGTTATCATGGCTCTGATCCATCTTGAAGTGCTGAGATCGATCATGTTGGATCGATCGAAATTTGATCTGAGATTGATCGAAGATGTTGATTTCCACCTTTTTCTTCCTTGTGCTTCCACTTGGCTCATTTCTTTGATTCATCCCAGAATTGCTTCATTTCTGCTCTTATTTGGTTGAGTTAGCTTATTTTCGGGATAAGTGTATGAAAATGGAAATAATACGAAATCAATCTAAAACGGTAAAGTAAGATAAATAAGGGTACTAGAATGCCTAAGCTTAAGGAGTTTAAATACGCACTTTTCAGTGCTCATCATTGTATGTGTAAGCAATGTTTGAGTAATACTAAGAAATAAAAAGATTAGCTTGTGTCTTACATTGATTTTATATTATTTTAATATTTTAAATTTACATAACTAGTCCCCCCACCCCCCCTCCCCTCAATTAAAAATTCTTGACTCCACTCTTGTCTGTATGCATATAGCGTTGGTAGCCACATAGGTGGAGTTTTTTTTTTTTTTTTTTTTTTTTAAAGGTCATTTTGATCAAATAAATGGACTTATAAATGTTAATATTGTATTTTAATGATTTAAATTGGCAAATTCATAAGTCAAAGGGTAATTACGTACTTTTATTAAAGAGTATTGTTATTCAAGTTTGTAAACTTGAGAGATAATTGGATCACAATCTCCTTAAGTTGTATTTATCTGCCTTTATTATAAACATGAGGGAATGTGAGTGCAAATTACACTAGTGTTTTCTTACCTTTGAAAGTGAAATGGCAAAGTTCAAGACTAGTAAGGGCAGAAAAGTTAATATTTACCACTGTAGAGGCAGCAAAATAATTGTTGTTTTCTTACAAACTATAAATATAAAAATAATAGTCCTAATAAAACAAACAATCACAAAATTACAAATTAATTACCATTTTTTCACATTTTAGCGTTAAATAAGTGGACCCCACTAGTATCCAACAAAATAGTAGTAGTATATACCAATGGAAAATGATAATGGGGCTGAAGTATAACCTTCGAAAAATCGACCGAATCTTTTATGGCAAATCCATGTCAGATTTTATAAAATCTGTTGCTCTTTTCAAGATTTTCTTTATTTAAAAATTCGCTATTCCAAGCTTTGAAAAGGTTGGCTCTGCCTTCAAAAGTACCGCCTCCACCTCTAATAGCCCAAAGCAGATCTTCACCCATTGATTCTCTGTTCAAAACTCTGCCATTCACGACAACAACAATTGCGTCGATGACATTATCAATCGAGAGTCCATACTTTCTTATCAGATTCCCATACCCAACACCCACTGTGGGACAAACACCAGCTGGGAAGCCATGGACTCAGCTCTTTTCAGCAATTCTATAGAAAAGTTCACCTAGTGTAGCTCCTGAACCAATCCACATAACCTCATTGGCTATGTTGATTTTGCACGTGAGTAAAACAACCACCTGCTTACCTCACCCCAAAAAAAAAATTAAAAAAGAAAAATTGTTTGAGAAGAATACGATGAAGGCGGTTTAGTAGTGATGACAGCTGGATGGCAGCCCTTCTCTGATCCTCCCGTGCCTGCCGGAACTCTTTTTGTATTTAATGTTCACTGGGTTTTCTAAGAGAAGATGTTCCGCGATTAATTGAAGAGAGGCCCTTAATCAAATTTCTTTTGAATCCTGATTGCGGTGTCTTTGGCCAGCAAAATCGTTGGGTAATTGCATCCATTCCAGCATAGACAATAAATCGTTGGGTAATTCATCCTCTAAAGCTTATAGGGTTGAGAGTTCATGGCAATGGATTTGATCGCCTATGTTAGGGTGATAGTTCGGTGCGTCATAAAAAACAATCGTTTCGGAGAGAGACTGATTTAGACTCTTGAGATAGAGCTTCCTCCACCATCTGCTACAAGATTTTTTTTTTTTTTTTTTTTCTTTCTTCTTTTCAGAGATCTACTACAATATCAAGATCTTTTTTTTTTTTTTTTTTTTTTTTTTTATTTTTTATTTTTTTGTTTTGGTATATTAGAAGTTTGGGGATAAATTTGCTCTAGTTGAATCATACATTGGTTCGGAATATATCCGAGTCCCGAACCTGATAAGCTCATGGCCTAATCTTCGCTTTCAAGTTCATTATATTGAAATTTGAACAATGTCACTTTATTAAAAACTATGCTTAAACCTATATTTTCTGATCCGGCAAAAATTTTCACTGAAATTTCTATATTATAATGGAATTTTCTCCTTTACAGGGAGGAGCTGCTAACCAAAGTGTAATATATTCAAAATACCATCACTTATGTATAGAAGGCTTCAATGGTTCAAATTAAGTTGTGCATAAAATGTTGTAGACAACCAGTATGAATCATCAATTGTTTACTAAGTTTCCATCTTTCTGCTTCCTATGATAAAAACAACCAAACAGATTGGTTTGAGCTTGCTGAACTAAAAGCCAATTGTCAGGATAGATTCTGACCTCCTATTATGGCATCAATTTAGAAATCAAAGCTTCACCAAATAACATAACAAAGACTCTTTTAGAGAACAAAATTTCCAAATGGCTCAAATATTTAACCTCCAGCCCTTACATTACAAATTGCTGAACTAAAAGCCAATTATCAGGATAGATTCTGACCTCCTATTTTAGTGTCAATTTGGAAATCAAAGCTTCACCAAATAAATAATATAACAAAGACTCTTTTGGAGAACAGAATTTCCAAATGGCTCAAATATTTAATCACCAACTCTTGCATTACAAAATCTCAATTATATTAAAAGCGACTCAAAAGATTTAAAAAAGTAACTTAAAAAAAAATACATCTGCCACCACAATGTAGTACAGAAGAAAACAAAGGGGATAAAAAGGAGAGGAAAAACAACTTGTGGGGTATCAATTTCTCCAAATTTTTGTATCAAAATGGATGTTCTTGGAAGCACTTCAAAAAATATATCCAAAAGCATGAAATTGTGAAGGTATGAGAACCTGCAAAAACATTGGCAACAAAGTAGTTTTAATAAGTTAAAATGCATTTGATAAGTACCTATTTTTTATTCATAACTAAAGTTTTTCATAAAATTATACCTTTAAAACTAAACCATTGGGTCCATATTATCTTCTCCAGTAAAAGAGCAACCATAAGTTGAGCTATTGAACCCAAATCTTTCTGCATTCTGTAAAGCACAATGGATGGTGTATAATTTTTTCTTTTCTTTTTTAAAAAAAAAAAAAAAAATGCATGAATAAGCATACATGTAATTAACAGGTACATTAAAAAAACCTATAGAAGTTGCCCAAAGCTAAGATTCTGCAAAGGTTGAATGCTCATATGCATGTAATGGGCTGGATGTATCTAGTATATTGAAAAATAAAAAATAAAAATCATCCACACTAAAATGTACAATGTTGAAAGGTCATTAAAGGTTGATAAAAGTTCAATTACCTCAAATAACTTCTCTGAAAGGTTGGATAAATCATTAACCTCCTGAGCGTGCATTTCATTCCAATGATGAGATAGATTAATCTATTTAATCACAAAAAGGTAAATCTTAATAAATAAAATACAAACTTTCATTTCCTCGATTTAGATGTATACATGTATAAAATCTAAAATTATTAGGATATGAGCAATTCAATTACAGCATGAATTTCTTGGGTTGCCATCTTATCAAGAAATTTTGAAGTAGTAGGACTTATGGTTGGTGAAACAACATCATTTACAACACTTGGAATGCTTTAGAGAACCTGCAAGTGAAATATTTGTGGATTGCACATTAATATATATATATATATATATATATATATGAAAATACATATAAATTTACGTGACAATAACTTTTTAATAATCGTATACTACCTTTCTCCTTTTTTGCACTTGCAAATCATTTTGATTAAGTTGCCCTTTTTGTTTTCCTTTAAGGGCCTGTAAACATATTATACAAATAGAAACTAAATATTGATTAATGAAAAAACAACAAAATTAATGAAGGTGGTATATTACAAAAAAATAATAAGTACATACCATCTTTCCCTTTTTAACCGTTTTTTCAATGACAGATTGTATCCTCTTTGAAGGAGGACGACCTTTAGTTTTTGCTTTTCTAGGAGTAAGTACTTTCTTTTGAGAAGCTGATAGTTCATGAATCATACTACTACACTCATTTGCAGGTTGATATATAACACTTTCTTGACTATTGAAGCAACCTGAGTAAAAGCTAAGGAGCTTTTTCTTTGTCTCCTTTAATTGTTTCAATAAAAACTCACATTTCTCGTCTGAATCTACTCCAAGCTCTTGCAATTCATATAACAGTGGCTTTAAAATATTATTTCGTTGCCTTTGTTCACTATTACTGAAATCATTAAAAATATTTTTGACAAAAGTATATCCACGCTTGATGTCCTTTCGCCAACGGTCTAGTATATAATGAGATGGAACCTCGTATACCTTTTCTTGCATCATCACAGATATCGCATGCCTACATAGAATCCCTCGAAACTCAAACAAATGGCATAAGCATCGTACTTCACATTCAATTGCATTGTAGAAAACCTCATAAGTTACCTCTTTCCAAAAAACACCAACTGTTCCAAATTTTTGTTCTCTGACTTCAAATGTAGAAGTATACTCTTCTCTCTTAATAAGAGATGTATTGCAATAAATCAATCCCTTCAATTCATCCTAAACAAGTTTGAAAATAGCATGGGTGTAAACATCTTGGAATTGTTTCTCAATGTAGAACTCAGTTATCATTGGAATGGCAGAACTGAAAGAAGCAAAATCTGCTTTATTTTCTTTTTCAACCTTGCTCTTTAAGGCATTATCATATTGTTCAACAAATTGCTTCAAGGATGTCTTTGAGTGAACATACCTATCAAAGAAAGCATTAATGCTTTCACTTCATTGGGTAGTTGACATTCCAGCCCAAAAGGTGCATCTCACATATACTGGAACCCAACGATGACGATCTTTATATAATGATTTCAACCATTCATTATTCTGAAGCTTGTATTCTTCAATCAATTTCATCCAACTCCTTTCAAACTCATCACAATTCATCGATTCATACACAATACTTTTTAAGATGCTCTTTATTTTTTTATATTGGGCAAGTCCACCCAACTTTATTGGAATCTTTTGCATTATATGCCAAAGGCACAATCGATGAGAAGATTTTGGAAACACCTTTGCAACAGTTGCTTGAATAGCTTTGTACTGATCTGTGATAATAGCTTTTGGAGCATGACTTGACATACATGTCAACCAAGACTCAAACAACCAAATATAAGTATCAATATCCTCATTAGATAGCAAGCCACAACCAAATAAAATAGATTGCCCATGATGATTCACCCCAACAAACGGAGCAAAAGGCATGTCATATTTATTTGTCAAGTAATTTGTATCAAAACTAATAATATCTCCAAAAGATTCATATGTGGCTCGACATCTACCATTAGCCCAAAAAACATTCCTTAAGCGCCTTTCCTCATCCGTATCAATCATGTAAAAGAAGTTTGGATTCCTATTTTGCATGTGACGAAAATAGTTAAGAAGGGCTCCCGCATCTCCAATGCCAAGTCTCGACTGTCTTGCTTTTGCAATGTAGTTCCTACACTCCCTCTCACCAAATGGTAAGTTCTCATACCCACCACCTTCGACAACAAGTGAATGGTAATTTTTAGTTAGAGTTATGCCTGCTAAATCATTCAACTCCAATTTTTTTTTTTTCCTTACATGAGAATCTAATACTTTGTTACATCTATAATGTCGAGCCTTTCCTGGACTTAATGCATGATTATGATCCAGATAGACACCACTAATGATGAACCTTCCATGATCTTTAACTATAACATTGATTTTGGCCTTACAGTTTGTCTTAATTGAAGGCCTTGGATGAAAAGGGTCCTTTACCTTTGATATTGTGTTACCATTCCGAGAACAAACAAGTGAAAAGTAACTTGACTTTCCATCACTTCTATTTTTTGCACTTTTCTTTGTTACACCAAAACCCCGATGCTTTGCATACTTCTTAAAATAATTACGAACCTATTCCTTATACTCAAAAATCATCCCTATCTTGGGAATTTCCACTTCATCATCAACTATTTGCTTTTCCAACTCTTGATCATTCACTTTATCATTATTAGGACTCTCCGAATTGCAAGGCATATATGCATCTTTTTCATATGGCATTTCCACATGAGAATTGTTCTCCATTTCTTATGAAAATCAAATAAATAATTGATCACCTAAATAACTGCATACAGTGCAAAAGAGCAATGCCCTACACTAGCCAGCAATAATATAATTCATTAACATGGTTTTGAAGTATTAACAATGTTTCACATAAATGTAACACAGTTTTTGAGAAATTGACTATAATAGTATCATTATATTGTTCAAAAAGAGGATCAATATTAACATGTGTACCAACAAAAATAAATCACAAAAATTAGGCTTATGCCAAACACTTAATAATCTGAATTGAACTAGCAACATTCAAGTCATTTTATATGCAAGTTTTGGTTTCCATTTCCTCTAACTTAGGGACATATTTTTAGTTTGGCGATGAATATTTCCCAAACCATACATACATATAATCACAATATTGACAAAAAACAAAAATAAAAAGGGACAAGAAAAGGACAAACATCCATTGGTTGTGTTAGATTCATATCGCCCGTTGTTCTAAGTCAAGATTAAAAAAATAGTAATGTTTCCTCTTTTATTCTTTTTTTAATCAGAGAATCTATTAAGTCTTATTGTGTTTTTTATTTTTTTCAACATTTGTTTAATTAAAACTTATCCTTCATAACCTGATCTCATTAAACAAATTTAATGAATCTATACATATCACACTACAAGTTGTACTTTCAAATGCTATTTTAACAAAATATAACAATGCAATAATCATAAACAACCAAACAATCCCTAAATAATTTAGGAGAAATAAGATAATTCTTTAGGGTCAGAGTTTTGCTAGCAATTGTTGTAGATTGGATATACAATCATCTTTGTAAGCCAATAAATTACATTCAAAATAATTACTTTTGTTTGACAAAGTGTCTATGGTACATAGTTTTAGTTCATTTGGACGGTTTCTTTTGCCTGTTTCGTTCATAAAATTTAAGCGTAGGAGATTGTTACTCTTGCAAGAATTCTTCCAGCAAAGTGTAAGGTATAATAGTGATTTAATTTGATGTATCAGTGTAAAATTTAAACTATACTACATATATAACAAGATAAAGATAAGTCGATAAAGGATAAATATAAGTGGAACAATCCATGTTCTTCCCAACTCTTCTTTTGTTTTCTCATCAACATATTAAAAGAATACGAATAATAATACTAAATCAAAGAAAATATCTTCCCAACTCTTCTTTTGTTTTTTCATTGACATATTAAAATAATACGAATAATAAGACTAAATCAAAATACAGAAAATAGATTGGAAAAAATTGTAAATCATACCTTCAATCTTGTTTAGGGTATGAATTACATGTAAGATTTGTAGGGTTTTTCTCTCAACATGAGCTCTCTATAATTTTGGGGACTCTTGAGTTTCCCGCGATATACAATCACCTTCCTTCCCTTCTTCTTTTTTTATTTTTTATTTCTTTTATCTGCACGTGATGGACTCTTTTACTCCATCATGTAAGAGGAGTGAGAATTTGACGTGGCTTTGCCACAAAAGATTCGGTCGTTTTTTCGGGGGATACCTTTCGGTTCCCCTATCACTGCCCTATACCAATAGTCCAAGAATTGACTCTTCTACGCGTTTTTCGACACACCTATCAACTCCAAGTCTTACAAGCCGCAACTGTCAAAAAAAAAAAAAGGCGGTGACTCTGCAACCAACTGATCGAGTTTCACACTGACAGTGTTTAACTCTGACCATGTGACACTCGATCAGCTACTTTCAAGCACGACTACGTCTATATATACATAATTAAGTTTGAAATCCTCCACACTCCCATTCTCGGTCTCGGGCTAGTTTGATGGCAAAATTTCTTCCATCTTTTTGAAAATGAACCCCAAACCAGAAAAAATTTGACCGAAGACCTAGAACACTCGATCATCGTCTCCGCTCTCGCGCACGTTATCAATGGCTATGATAGTGATGATCCCACCACCGTCGCTCTACTACAAGCCCTCTAGAGTTCCACAAGTGGGACCAATATTTTCCCGCCAAATAATGAAGAAGAGAAGGAAAAGAGTAAGAAGAAGTACAGGGGAGTCCAGCAGAGGCCATGGGAGAAGTGGGCTTCGGAGCCAAAGCCAAGCTCAACTTCCCATTGTTAGATTATAAGACAGAAGGATCACACTCGAAACAAAACCGAGAAAATCAAGAGTTTAATCCCAATGCAATTGACTACGCACATAGCTCATAGTACGGCAACAAGGAAAAGCTCAAGCCCAACTCATTGGAGATGAAGAGTAGCGAGAGAGAGACAAGTATGGAAGAGACTAGAGAGTGAAGAGTTTTGGGAAGACCTTCCTCCACTATATATAGATATATAATT